ACCCTATCACTACCCTCCAGCATATTTACCTGTCCCCTCAGCTTAGTGTCTTCCACAAAATTGCTGAGGGTGCAATCCATCCCATCGTCCAGATCATTAATGAAGATGTTGAACAAAACTAGCCCCAAGACCAACCCCTGGGGCACTCCACTTGATACCGGCTGCCAACTAGACATCAAGCCATTGAACTAGCCAACTTTCTATCCACTTTATAGTCCATTCATCCAAACCATATTTCTTTAACTTGCTGGCAAGAATACTGTGGGAGACCATATCAAAAGTGTTGCTACAGTCAAGGTACATCACATCCACTGCTTTCCCCATATCCATAGAGCCAGTTATCTCATCACAGAAGGTTACGAGGTTGGTCAGGCATGACCTGTGCTTGGTGAATCCATGTGGACTGTTCCTGATCACCTTCCTCTCCTCCATGTGCTTCAAAATGGATTCCTTGAGGACCTGCTCCATGATTTTTCCTGGGACTGAGGTGAGGCTGACTGGTCTGTAGGCTGGCACACTCATATAAGAAGGGCTGTGGGGCAGAGCAGAGTTCAGTAGCTGCCTGGAGCTTGAGGGGAGAAGACCAGTCTCCTAGCAGCAAGAAGGAGCGCCAGCACCTGAGACAGAGCAGCGCTGCAAGTACGGGCCAGGGGAGCTAGAGAGAGCTCCTGGCTGGCTGTTAGGACCTGCAGACTGAGGTAAGAGCAGAAGAGGGTTCTGGAACTGTGTGGGAAGCAGCCCTGGGACAATGAACTGCAGTTGCCACTGAGAGAGTAGCTGGACAGAGTGCAGGTCCTGCAGAAAGAGGGAATACAGAGTGTGGCACAGCCAGAGGGCAGTGTCACTGAAGAGAATGGGAGTGATGTGAGTTCTGGAACAAAAATGACGGTGGTGGGGCACCACCAGAGGAGGGCGCCTTGGTGAGCAGACCTAATTCCCATGACAGCTGGCAGGAGGCGCCAGAGCAGTGAGTGAACCCCGTCACAGTCCCGATTTGGGATAGGAAAATTTGTCAAAAGCTCAAAAAAATTTGCAGGACAGTAAAAGCAGGAAAGTGCCTCACTCTATCCAGCACCTGATACGGATTCTGTTTATACATCAGGCACCAACTTCTTAGTGGTTCTGATCATCTGTAACATATATTGGGAGGCAGTGCAGCCCAGTGGCTAGAGCACTGTACTCGGGAGACATGGATACTATTCCTGACTCTGCCACTGGCCTGCTGAGTGACCTTGGGCAGCTCGCTTCACCTTCCAGAGCCCCAATTTCCCCATCTGTCAATGGCGATATTGATACTGACCTCCTTTGTAAAGCACTTTGAGACCTGGTGCAAAGAACCAGGGAAGAGCTAGGTGTTAGTAGTAGCAGTGACGTCAAAGGAAATTCCTGCTGCTCAGCAGGTGCTGGATCCTGGATGGTGCTGATTGGCCTTAATTTCCACTGACTTCAATTAGAGTTGAGGGTGCTCAACATCTTGCAGGAGTGCTCAGCATCATGCAGGATTGAGCCACCAGTGATCAGCTCATTTCGTGATTTAGCTGCAGATGAGAAACACAGCTGTTCAGGAGATTCAGGGTATGTCTACACCGCAGTTAGACACCTGTGACTGGTCCGTTCCGGCTGGCTCGGACTGAGGGGCTGTTTAATTGTGATGTAGACGTTTGGGCTCGGGCTGGAGCTCAGGCTCTAGGACTCTGCGAGGTGGGAATTTCAGGTATCAACCTCCTGTGGGAGTTAGAGCACACGGCACACGCAGGTTGAGTGGCTGGACTGTATTATGTCTTGCTAACACCGCAACTTGTTTCCCTTGCCCCCATCCCCCCTCCTCCACCTCGGAGTTCTCTCATGACTGTCCTGAAATGCCTTTATACTGAACTGAAAACATACCAGTTGGTGTTGCATAGGGTGCTGCTATCATTACTTGGCTGTCTAATGGAGAGCACAGGAAGGAAGTCTCTGTTGTGCTGTAGCATGCTAAACTGCCACACTGTCAGCTGAATTAATCTCTTAAAGTGTGGACTTACTCTGACAGTGACTGTAAGAATGGCACCTTCTTACTCAACAGAACTGGTCCTTGTGTGTTCAGCATTTTACATGCTGACTCGAGAGACAACATTCGTTGTTTCAGATAATTGTTCACATCAGCTCATTCCTTCTCATCTACCCTCTCCTCTGTCCAGCCACGTAACTAATCACCCCATTTATTATCTTCTCCTGCTCTGGTCTTTGCACCTCATTCAGTGTACCTCCCCACGTCTGGGATTCTCTTCCTGGCCCCGTTCACTATGCCTCTAAACGCCAGAACAAATCTCAAGATTTGACTGTAAAAGAAACATGTAACCTTATAATAAACCTACTAAAGTAACCTCCTGGGTTTATTGCTGCAACTCTTATCCTTCCCCCTGCCTTCCAATGTCTGCTACAGTAGAACCTCAGAGTTCTGAACACCAGAGTTACAAACTAACCGGTCAACAACACAACTCCTTTGGAACCGGAAATATGCAATCAGGAAGCAGCAGAGATTAAATAAAAAAAAATAGCAAATACAGCACAGTGCTGTGTTAAACGTAAACTACTATAAAAAAAGAAAGGGAAAGCAGCATTTTTCTTCTGCATAGTAAAGCTTCAAAGCTGTATTAAGTCAATGTTCAGTTGTAAACTTTTGAAAGAACCACCATAATGTTTTGTTCAGAGTTATGCACATTTCAGAGTTACAGTCTCCATTCCTGAGATTTTGTAACTCTGAGGTTTTACTGTATCTGTTTTCCTTATGTCTTACAGTTACCTATGGTAAATAGTACAACACCTTTTGACTTCTGTGGGAGCAGGATAGGCCTTAGACTGTACACTTCAGGACAAGAACAATGACCTTTTCTTCCTGGAGGTCTTCATGCCTTGAACATTGTTGATAAGAACACTCTGTCTTGGTTTAACTGGATTGCATACGCCAAATTAATAGGTCAAGAACATTTTTGAAACAAAAGTTTCTTTTTTTGGTTTGAAAAAACTTTTTATTTTGAAATTTTAGTTAAATTAGTTTAGTTTAGTTAAAGGTTTTTGTTCCTGGTTTTTTAATTGTTGAAATAAAAACAGAATGTTTTGAAATGATTGAAACAAAACATTTCGATTGACCTGATCTGAATTTTTTTTCCAGATTATCCATTTGTAAACAAGTTTGAGATTTTGACTTGTCCCAATTTGGGATGGGAAAATGTCTTGAAATCTCTAAAATTCTCATTGGACAGGAAACTATTTCCTGTCTAGCTCCAGTTGAAATAACTATTTACTTTTGAAAATTTTGGCATCAATAAATACTACTATTAATAACGACAGTTCAGCTTTACTTGAGGAACATGTATACTCAGTGTTAATAAATTAATGAGGTCTGCTGATTTTATTGTTCAGAATTAATACAATTCTTGCAAAATTATAAAAAAAGATAAATTTGTTTGTCTACAAATTACCTGTCTGGAGATTGTTACTACCTCATGATATCAACATCCTTATGGGTGAAATCTATGCAAAATGACCTTTACTATAAAGCACAAAATTCAGCTACTAACTGCCAAGGGGAAGAATGTATTCAAAAAGCCTAGAGCATAAATATGGATGTGATCATTTTCAGTACAGCAAAATATCATTACATTTATGCAAGGTCCTATGAAACATTTGAACGTTTTCTTTTTAATTAGTTACATTTCCATTTAAATGGTTAGTTTTGATGACCCAACAGGGAACTTACTTTTAAGCATGTGCCTTCTTAATTTGCCTAATTCCATATAAATATGTTGAAGGCAGGAGCTGATTCTGTGAAGCACAGCACTTTGCAAGGTAATGTCTTTTTAATTTGTTTTAAACATGGCAAATTCCCAATGTTTCTCAATTATTTAATTATTTTTCTATAAAGGACCAGCCTTCACCTGGTACTGCAAAAAATATAATGATAATTGTTCCATTGCTTTAGATAACAGTACAGTTCTGCTCTGCAAAACAACTCTACATAGGATTATGGGGATCCCTATTTGTATCAAAAATTCCATTGCAAATTTTCTCAGTTTACAAGTAACTAAGCTGCTGTTTTCTAACTGCCAGCCCTGCAGACTCACTGGGATGGTTCTTTTCTGGCTCATGCTTCATCACCAGCAATAAAGATTCCACAGGATAAATTGTGCCATCATTTGCATCTGTGTGACCCTAATGCCTTAAAACAGTGCCTCTCAACCTTTCCAAACTAGTGTACCCCTTTCAGGAGTCTGATTTGTCTTGCGTACCCCCAAGTTTCACCTCACTTAAAAACTACTTGCTTACAAAATCAGATATAAAAATACAAAAGGGTCACAGCACGCTATTACTGACAAATTGCGTACGGTCTCATTTTTACCCTATAACAATAAAATTAATTGACTGGAATATAAATATTTTACTTACATTTCAGTATATAGTATATAGAGCAGTATAAAAAAGTCACTGTTGGTATGAAATTTTAGTTTCTACTGGCTTCATTAGTGCTTTTAATGTAGCCTGTTGTAAAACGAGGCAAATATCTAGATGAGTTGATGTATCCCTGGGAAGACCTCTGTGTACCCCCAGGGGAACATGGATCCCTGGTTGAGAACCACTGTCTTAAAAGAATGCCCTGGCTTGCACAGGTGCAACCCTAGTGCCTTCAGTGAGGTTGAAAAGCTGTAAGTGTGGGCAGAATCTGGCCCTGCAATTGAAATTGCATTGGCAATTTTAAAGATGATGCATGATTCAGAAGAGAATCCAGCTCATTCTCCCAGAGCTGCTCTGGCTAACAGGAGTAAAGAGCAGTAAAAAATTATTTTTCATACAAAATGAACTGGGAAATTTTGTAACTGAAATGGAACTGCTATCATCCTTTGTACACAGCCTTGCACCATAACTTTATGGAAAAATGTCAAAGTTGATCATCTGAGATGATGAATAGAAATACTATATCAACAAAAGAGTATTATAATAATGTAAATCAAGAAACTCACCTTTCAGCTACTTTGGACATTTTTAAACAGTGTCTGTCTATCTGCACATTCAGAAAGGTTATCTGGGGAAAGAGATGACGATTAAAAGAGATTAACAACCGAGCAGATCTAGAACCACGGGTGCTAGAACCGGAGAGGCCAGGGGCGCAATGCCCCCCTCCCCTTTTTAACATGAGCATAGTCGGGCAGGCGCAGAGAGGTGGTGGCTGAGGTTGCGCTTCACAGTGGGGGAGCTGATAAGGTGATCAGCTCCCCAGCCACAAAGGGCAGCTCCTGCTTGCGAGGCCAGCCTCTTCACGGTAGGGGGGCTGAGGTGGCCTTATCCCTGCCTTGCCACAGGGCCCATCCCCTTGCTCCTCCTCTTTCCTCCGTGAGCTGGAGCCGGGCAGTGGTAAGAGGCATCCAGAGAGCCCAGGCCACTGTAGGGAGCCCTGGACCCACCACCTGCCCTGGGTGACATGCCCCAGGGGGCTGTTCTCAGGCATCCTGGCCAGGGGGCAGGGCCTTGGGGGAAGAGGGGGAGCAGGGAACGGGAACCCAGGGGAAGAGGAGGAGCAGAGGGGGTAGGGCCATAGTTGTGACATCAGTGCCCCCCACCCCACAGTTTTAGACAGGTTCCGGCGCTCCTTTCTAAAGCATCCACTGATTGTGTCACAATACAGTCTTGGCTTTGCATTTCAAGTGACTTATCAGTTTGCAAGGAGTAACCATGGGTTCTCTCACAGGTGTCAGAGAACACAACAGTGGGACAGATTTACTTGTGCTGGAACAGGGACATGTAAGTTGCCCCTCCCTGCCTGTATTCGTAGGGTTGGCTGTGCCCTGGAAGGATTCTGATCATAACTGCATTACCCTTTAATATTCAACTCTTGCTACACATTGGTGGTATGGTGCCTGTCTTCCCCTGGGGGGGCTCTACTACAGAAAACAGCTTTTATTCCTACTGGAAGTTCCCTGGAAGCTCTGCCTGTGGAAGCAGTACTGAATGAGCAGAACCTCCAGCTGCTTTGGATACGTCTTCCTGCCTTATCAATACCACCCACTTTTTGAGTATCTTTGGCGACCTGAAGGAGAGGCAAAACTATGGCTAGACACAGTATAACCCACATAGAATTCTTTATAAATTTGATTGAGTTTTTGCCTGGGGGTTCCTTGCAAACCTGTCCTGATTTTTTGTTGAATGCATTCATTCTTTGAAAGTATTTGCCAAATATTTTGGCACATAATTTTCAGACTGTGGGTTGCTCACAAACTGTTTGTGTTGCCTATTTGCTATTCATGGCGTGGGACTGGTCACAAAAGTCACAAGGCATTGCATTTGCTCCCTGATTGGATGACTGGAACATATTTAAAAGTTGTAATTACTTAAAATAAACCTGCCACACAAATTTGTAACATTTTTTGGGAAATGCTGTCTGTAGGCAGGTAAGGTGAGTGGAATTTTGGACTTGAGAGCCACTCTGTTAATTTGAAAAGAGAATATGACATGTAGCATTCATCTCAATGTACCCGCATGTCCCCTTTCATATTTAGCTTTTTATATGTGCTACTTTGTTCAAAGCATGCCAACATCACCTTACATTTCTGTTGTTTTGCACCAGGAAACACAAGCATGTTTCTGGCTTTATTGATATTTCAATAAAAATATAAACATCTTTTTGAAAATAAAGTACTCAGTTCTTGGAGGAGTTGTTCTAAGGCAGTCTACTTACTCGTTTTCGGAAGTCCTCTTTTGTAGTTTTTCGTATGGGTTGGGAGGGCATATGTACAGGGCTTTGGGACTGAGAATCTTCTGTAACCCCATATACTGACTGAAACAAATAACACGAGAAATTACAGAGTATTATTGTTACATACCTAAGGAAAATCTGTGCATGAAAACAGTCAAGTAATGAGCCAGCAATTGTCTACTGTTACCTTTTCAGAGATCAATAACTCTTAAATCTGGAACAAAGTTCATGAATGAGCATGTATATACAAATACCTGAGTGGCAAATAGCTGTAGCTGTGTTAATTGAAAATTGTGATTTCTCTCTGACGAGCCCAACTGAGAACAAATGCAAATCTCTGCCTGATAATCAGAGGTACATGAGAGAGTTTTTCTTCTGATTCCCTACTTTAGTATGTTAGTTGCAAAAGTGAAACTTCTACATTTTATGAAACTCATATTTTTGATGAAGGCTTCAGCTCTGCTAATATGTATCTTTTGATTAACAAATCTTGACACTTACTTCAAAATTTCTCAATATCTGCTTGCTTATTATAAATTACCGCATTTTCAGTCAGTCAAACCCACTATTTCTTATGCCTGAAGCACTCTTATCTAGATATAAAATAACTGTTTTTTGCTCTACTCTACAAGTCTATTGCATTTCCACAATGAATGGAGACATTTATATTTGAGAAGTGTTACTTTGCTTGTCATGCATTTTTGGGGGTATACAGGCTTCAGGGAGACTGCCATGTGCATGAAGTTATGCAGGTGTGTTTATGTTTATAGGATCAGTAACTGAGATGGGGGGGGGGGGTGGAAATCATATTCTAACTCAAGTGTCTCTTAAATATGATACTAAACAACTTTAAGAGAACTTACAGTAATAACTTTTAACCCTGAGGCTTTGATACACTGAAAAAAAGGGTTAATATGGTGTCAATGAGCCAAGTTTTCCACAAACCTTAAAAAACAACAGCAACAACAAAACAGTAAAACACCATAAAATCACCGGTAGTGCATTTATTTGTCAGGTATTGAAGGCAATAGCAGGCATCTTTTTGTTCAATTAATTATTTTTTTTCTTTATTTGATATTTGTATGAAACATTGAAAGGTTATGATGACATTTAATAGCCAGCATATTGACATGTTTGGGACCATCATGCTGATATGCAACAGTTCATTTATGTTTGTCTATATTTGTTCAAATGGGAGCTCTGTGGTCACTAAATGACAACGATGACTATCCCAGGCAAAAGAAAAAAATAATCAGGTCTTAATTCGAAAAGAGTGCAGTCTAGTGACTACAGCAGAGGTCTGGGAGTCAGAACTCCCTAGTGCTGTTCTCAGCTCTGCCAAGACTTGGACTGGTACCTGTCCATTTGTAAAATGAACATAATAAACTTACTTACAAATGTGGAGGCTTAATTAATATTTGTAAATTACTTTGAAATTCTCATTTGAAAGAAGCAACATACTGTTGGTGTAAAACATAGTTGTTACTGTTCTGAAAAAAAAAAACCACCCTTACCTTTTTAACCTTCTGTGGGTTTTTCATACGGCGACACTTTCTGATGTCCATTTCTGTTGTGTTCACGCAGCCTGGCTAAGAAAGGGACATTCATAATATTACCATTGATGTTAACAATGTACATACCACCTCCTCCCACTGGAAAGCAATAATAAAACACAGAGTTTTCATCCTTTCCTTGCAGCACAAATACTGTTACAAAAATGCACAATAGGATCTTTTTCAAAATGCTTTCTTTAAGGTGTGTACTACAAATCATATTCGTTAATCATTTGGTTCTGTAGTTGTTTGTACTTATGTACTTGTGATTTTTTAATTTTTTTTTCTTTTACATCACTTCATATCATACCCAAATGTGCAGTTTTTGAATCATGATTGCCATATTTGGGGTCAGGAAGGAATTTTCCTCCAGGGCAGATTGGAAGAGGCCCTGGGGGTTTTTCGCCTTCCTCTGTAGCATGGGGTACGGGTCACTTGCTGGAGGATTCTCTGCACCTTAAAGTCTTTAAACCATGATTTGAGGACTTCAATAGCTCAGACATAGGTGAGAGGTTTTTCGCAGGAGTGGGTGGGTGAGATTCGGTGGCCTGCATTGTGCAGGAGGTCAGACTAGATGATCATAATGGTCCCTTCTGACCTTAATATCTATGAGTCTATGTTAGGTTGAATCTCAGCATCCAATTTATTTGCTCATAACTTCAGCACACAATTTCAGCATGCCAATTCCTTTCAGGCTGAAATTACCTGGTCTCAGCTCAGAGCTGAGTTTTTCTAGAAAACTTGAACAAAACTGGTTTAACTGCTTTTGAATTCTACTTATGAAAAAAAAAACCCTTTACACTTCTATTTTATGTTAAAATCAGAAATGTTGTGCATGCACAAATCTAAACCTTTTGAAACAATTTTGTTCTCAAACTTGGCTTGTTCTGAAGATCTCCTAATGGACAATTGACATAAGAAGAAAATCCGTTCAGCAGTTTTAAAGCTAACCTCTCCATGCAGCATATCCACATTGCTAGGTTTGGAAGTAGCGTAATTTAAAAAGAGACTTACCACTGGCCTGTGCACATCCCAAAATGCTCTTTCTTGGCTGTCCAAAATTTTCCTTTCAGTTTTATCCTTTTTTCTGTCAATTCTGGGAAAATAAAGAAATGAAACAATCCACGACTTCACTTTTCTGACTTGCTCCCAATTTTCCCCTGGATTTTTGGACCCAACTGACAGCAGTATCCAGTACTCCTGTTCTAGTGACACATATTTCCATACAGAAAAGTCAGATTCCAGATGCCAAGTGATTTGCAGGGTCATTCCACCAGCCTGACGAAAGGGATCTTTTGTTTTCAATGAGAGAACTTTTTTGCTAACATCTGCTCTGCACCTGGCAGCGAATAGCCTTTCTGACACCAGATTTCCCAGTCCCAGTCGAGCACAGCACTTAAACTGGTGCTTAACTTTAAACATGTGAGGAGTCCCCCTGAAGTCAGTTTACTTAACAGTTATGCATTAACTTAATGGCTGTCCTGTATCAGGATCCAACAAGTCAGAAAAACACATGACTTCACAAAATTGTTCCACGTGGGACATACTAAGAACAATTGCAAATTCTTCATGGACAGATTCCCCACATCATAAATACCAGTAACACCATCAAAACTGGCACAGATACCCTTTTAAAGAATTTCAGAAGACAAGTCAGAGACTGAATGGGACAAGGAGAATGAACAATCCCGCTTAAGCATAATGTGGTCCCTTCAGAACATGTCTGAAGCATGTTGATGGAGGAGTGTGGTGGAAGCCTACACTGGCACTACATATGCTGTACCTGTTTTGTTCCTTACAGAGGGCGTCCGTTTCTAAAGCTCTCAATTCAGCATCTTTATTGACACTATTTTTAAATGATAATTTAAAGTAGTAGGTGGGAGAAAATCCACCACTGTGGGGGTTATTAGTTATTTGTCTTTATCACCATCACCCCTTGTTGGAGAGGTTGCGATCAGTTGTTGATCCCCAGCCTGACCTATAAATGGAATTATAACATCACCTCTTGGAACATAGCAGCATGAGGCTGAGACAATGACCCAGATCCTTGGCTGCAGATGAGGAGCACATAGTGCAACCTGGGAGGGCAGCATGCAAAGGCTTTGTGCTCCCCCAGTTCTGGGTCAGCTAGCATAAAGTTAGAGCAGCCTTCAGGTGGCTGTCAATGGGCCTAGGGCATGGCAGCTGAGGATAAGAGACTCAGGGCTTGTCTTCACGACCGGGGAGATCAATGCTGCTGCAATCGATGCAGCGGGTGTCAACTTATCATGTCTAGTGAAGACTCGCTAAATTGACAGCAGAGCACTCTCCAGTCGACTCTAATACTCCAGCTCCCTGAGAAGAGTAAGGTAAGTCAATGAGAGAGCATCTCCCGTCAATGCAGCACAATAGAGATAGCAGGGTAAGTCAACCTAAGCTACATTGACTCCAGCTGTGTTATTCACGTAGCTGGAGTAGTGTAACTTAGGTCGACTTACCCCCATAGTGAAGACAAGCCCTCAGATACAGCCCACTTTCTTCTAGCCTAGCCCCTTATGCCAGACAAAGGTGTACGGGATTGAATAGGAGATGTTATGACAGCTTTACACCACTGGAAGATTCCCATGCCCTTAGTGGGTAATCCTCCTGTGGCTGGTTACACCGACTTTAGGGCTGCTTTGTTCTAGTAGTAAAGCATAAAATGGTTGCAACACAATCCAGGATCTGGGCTTTTTATATATATATACAATCTCCAAGAATGTGCCATTGATTACAATTTTTAAAAAATTAGAAATATTGATTATGAAAATACAGTGTAATTAATTGCATTAAGACCATGATTTTCAAGCATTGCAACTAAACCCACTAAGCAGGTGGCCTGATTTTCAAAACATGAAGCGACCACAGCTCTCATTGAAGTCCACATTGAATATTACTGCTCATTTAATGCTGCCCAGGGCTTTGGCATGTCCAGCCTACAGGTAAATACACCAATGGAATGCTATATGCAAGATGGGGGTGGGGAGTACAAAACTTGATATGAAAAATAACGTTTCCAGATGCTTGTAGTTTTTCAGTTTAAATCTTACTCTGCTGTGCTGGAAACCTAAGCCCAAACAGCACTGGAATAGTGCCTGAAAACCAAGAAATGAAGCCAACTAGTGACAGGAAGTGATAGTGACCAGTTGAGTTTTACTGCTCCAAGTGAATGAAATGGAGAAAAAGTAAACAAACAGCATTGATAGTGAAAAGAAAATAAGACTTAAAATCCTTCCAGTTGTAATAATCTATGCTACTAGTGTCAGAAGTACATAGTTTTGTTTGATTATGATTTTTATCTTGGCAGTGAACCTTTAAGCATCTCAAAGACTAATTATTATTGTAACTTCCAATTTTCTCATCTCATCAGAATACTAATATTCTGAACTGAAATAATCCCTTAATTACCATGTTATTTTAAGGATAATTACCATGTTCTTAAATGGTCCATAATTACAATGTAATTACAGTGTTAATCAACAAAGTACTACAAATATAGATACACACACATGCATATATACATATACATAATAAGAAGTAGCAATCTCTTTTCATTTTGTAACATTTGTTTTGCTGTTTGATTCTGAAAGTGCAAATTCCCTCTGCTTTTTTGGTGTTTCCCAAGAATACAAATATCTGTATTCTGTAACACTAATATGTCACCTTCATCTTCCTTGTAGTTTTCACATGTGACAACTCCTTCTGTAACATGGACATGCAGACTTCTAAGCACCCTAATTTCACAAACCCAGAACCATGCACCTATTGTGGCAGTAGCAATGTCATGTTGCATATACTACTAAGAGACTGCACTTTGTGATCATGGGTAAAGAGGAGGCAAACTGTAGATTCCCAGTTCTGGGTGGAATGACAGGAGGAGGGTGAAAAAAAAATTACTCGTTGTAAAATATGAGTAAGCCTTACTCATATTACATAATAGTATTACATAATAGTCCACAATGATTTGGTAGCAAAAGGAGGTCAGTTAGTATGGATACAATAGAACTGAGTTTTCCGGGATTTGGTGTATTCAGTGGGAAAAATAATTGGGGATATTTGCAAAACAAATATACTGTGTGCAGCAGGACTGTACAGCTACTGCAGAAATGGCAGCACTTTTTATCTTCAAAGTACTTTACAAACATTAACCCATACACCTGCATGGAAGGTGTTATTCTTTCCACTTATGCTGAGTGGGAAATTGAGGCACAAATGGTAAGAGACTTGAACAAGAGCAAGAAGCTCAGGAGTTCCTGGCTTCCAGACCTGCACACAGACAATTAGACCCATCTTTATCTTGGCATTTTTTCCTCAGGGTATGTGATCTTGTGAATTAGTCCTGTGCTGTTTCCAGTGTGACAGGGATTAGAATTTACCAATAAGTCTCGAGTTATTTGGGCAAAGACTTTAACTGGGAAACATTCTCTTAATCCGATCCCTTCCCCAACAAAGCTCTAAAGACTCTTCCAGTTCACTGAACTGGGAATACTTACTTCACTTGGGCCTCTGCTTGCATAAAGATGAATTCCCACTTCCTTGCAAAAGCCCTCTGCAGTCTTGCTAAGTTTTCCTGATAGGAGAAACAAATAAAGAGAACAATTAAATCACACTAATTATAACTGCAGTTTAAGAACTAAATTATTGCATCAGTTTTTTTAACCTGGAAAGCTCAAAACACTAAAATTAATATTGGTAAATTGTCTCTGTAGGCAAAGTATGATATGAATGTGTGGTGTGTGTCCCCCTTACAAGCCACCACATAGCAGGAACAGGACGGACCAAAGCAAGAGTTGTATCAGGGTGTGAAACAGACTGCCAGAGCTCTACTAATAAAACAGCGTTGGACTTGTTTCCACGTATTCCTCAGTGTACTTTCTACAATACAATACTGTGAAAGTTTTTGGAACCGACAACTTCCCATTCTGATAGCAGCTGCCTGCTGCCTGCACACTTTGCTTTTATGGGGTGGCTGGGTGGAGGAGGAGGGAGGGTATTTTCCGGCCTTCCTTGTTTCATAAAGGATAACCATCCCTCAGTTGTTCAATGGATTGTTAACCCTGAAAGCATTCCACAGTGCAGAGGACTGAAGTCTGGGTATTGTCAGGGCAGTTCATAAAAGGAAACTAGTTATTTGTCAGGACAATGGAAATAACTAGAGATAGGCCCAAGCTGGTCACGTTTGGATCCAGATAACCTTTAGCCCATTATCGCAATAGCTCCAATTCAGGAAAGCACTTAAACACATACATGTTGGTTCATAAATTCACAGACTCCAAGGCCAGAAGGGACCGTTAGATAATCTAGTCTGACTTCCTGTATAAGCCATAGAATTTTACCCATTTACCCCAGAAGTCCATACGTACATAAATCTAAATTCATACACATTCAGGAAACCATTTGAGCATGTGCTTAAGTCGCATTGAATTCTATGTGACTTAATCATATGCCTTAAATTAAGTACATGCTTAAGTGCGGTCCTGAATTGGGACGCTCTCCTGAATTATGGGTTCAGGAAATCAGCAGTAGCTGGTAGAGAGGCAAAAGAAAACTTAACTAGGCCCACTGTATATTGGTGTAAATCAGGAGTAACTCCACTGATATTAATAGAGTGACACCAGGTAAATCTGGTGTAACTCCGAGAAGAATCAGGCTTATATTTGGCCAACAAGGGGAAAAAAACATAAGGGCACCTGAACTTAATCTTCCAGGCCATACTATGGTTTACCAGTAGAAACACAGGGATCCTATGAATCTGCATGCAGAGCCCATGACCAGAAAAAAGCATCTCCTGCAGATTGAGGGGTGAGGTTGGTTTAAGGAGGATTTATATGAGGAGAGAAAATGGAAGAATCCTTCACTGAGCACACACCCTCCAAAAAAGCTTATAAAAATAACTATGCAGAGGATTCCTCCCCAGTTCAATGAACCTGATTCTCCTCTCACTTGCACCAGTTTTACACCACTACCACTCCCTTGATTTTATTTGGTGTAATGGCGATAGGAAGAGTTGATGCCCTTATCATCTTCCTGTTTCTTATTAAGAGGGCAAGTTTGCAATTCAGATCTCCAATCATGTGAGAAATGAGAAAGTGACAGAAAAGCAAGAGCTAATTGTTTGCCATCGGAGCATTACTATTCTCAATAGACACTCGTATGCAACAGTACTTAGTACTGTAGCTTCATGGCATGAGTGCCAGAGTGGGTGGTGCTGCTGGTGCTGAACAGCCCTTTTGTTTCTTTATGACGGATCCTTATAGAATTTAGTTAGTCAGGTGACTGCGTGATTATCATTTTTTTAAATAATGAAACTGGAGATATGCAGAAGCAGCGCATCAGCAAAAGGATATACAGTGCATGTGGATTTTAATATTCCACACCTTGTCTAACATTCCAGGGTAGTGTTACTGGGAGTACTACATGCATTTCAAGGATGGAATCTGTGGCCGAAATCCACAAAGGAATTTAGGCTCCTAACTGCCACTTTAGGTGCCTAAGTCCAAAATTTAGATCCTCAAAATCACTGCTCAGTTGCTGCCTACCCATGAAGGGACCTACATTCCCTAGCTGCCTATGTTTCTGCTAGTAAAGTCCCCTAGGGCCGGAGGACTAGGAAGTTAGTAGGGAGTAAGTTAGGGTGTGACTTTAACGTGTACTAGCTATTCTGCACTAACTCTCCATGGGAACACTCTTATTTCACACTACAAGTTCCTTTGTGAGGTTTAGCTTAGTAACTTAAAAATGGATAAGCTACACTGCACAAAGGCACTGTTAGTGCAAAGTAAGGGTGCCCGTATGGGGAGTTCATGCAGAATAGCTAGTGCACGTTAAAGTCACACTCTAGCTTATTACACACAACTTCCCATGTAGACAAGTCCTTTATTTCTTCTGGCGGCTATGTGCAAATCTTCCTAAGTTCTGATGCCACTGAGCTGCTCAGTGCTGAAGTGTCAGTGGGATCCTCACCACCTACCTCTATTGGATCAGGCTCTGTATAAAACACAGGAGGAACAGGTGGTGCCTTTATATCCAAGAGCCCAATGGATAAAGCACTCATCCTTTGTACAAGAGACCTGGGTTGAAATCTCAGCTTTGTCTACTGGGAACAGGGACTTGAACTCAGGTCTTCCACCTCCTAAGAGACTGCCTTAACCATTTGGCTATAAGGTTCTCTGGGATGGGCCTTTTTCAGTCTCTCCTGTTGAATTTTTTCCATGTTTTATAACATACATAGACACTGGAGCAGGGACTGGAGCCTGGGTCTCCCAGGACCTTGTATTACCTGCTAGGCTATGGAGTTATGCTGACTCTCTCTCTGGCCCAATGGGAGGTGGGAGATTTAGATAAGTGTTAGAGCAGAATTTAACTCAGTATACTGCGGCTAGACAATTCTGTCTACTGTTATTTCCTACTGTACATGGAAATGCAGTCCATAGGTGGATTCAGCAGCAGCAGTCACTGAAGGCCATATTTTGTCCTCAGTGTATTTATATACCATTCCTATTGTCATCAACAAGACTTGTGTGGAAGGATCCAATGGAGCATACATAGTCCCTTGTGTGCAAAAGCAATCAATAAAGGGTTCTTTCTTGCTTTATCTCTAGTCAGTACAGGGCACATCTGTGGCATGATGGGGACAGGCTGGTCTATGAATTAGATATATTAAACAGGTTACAGCGAGGTCACATTTGCTCCCAAATTTAGATTTTATAACAACAAGGTGAGAGGGGGAAATCAGTTTTGTTTGTTTGTTTTAAAACAAAACCTAAGACCAATACAAATGTTTTCATAAATTTAAAAAACATTTCTAACAGTTTTTCAAACAACATTCCACTGAAGTATTTGAAACTTAACCACTACTCTGTTGAGCTAGTAAAGCAGAACCTGAAAATTAGATTGACTAGAGCCTGATAATAACCAAAAGTGCAGTTGGCTAGAATGCTTTCATTGCCTACATTCTGAGTAATGCAAAAAGCGAATGACTTGTAACATAGGTTGAGGGCATTTTCATATGCTTACTTGTTAGCCTGACAAGGCCTCTTTACTAAACATAGCTAATGCCTGTATATGGAATTTGGAAAATGTAGCTCAAATTAATCTTTTTTGTAAATCATTCCTTTGAGAGTCTATAAATATGTGATATGCCTCAGCGGCAATGTAATTGTCCAAGAATGTTAACCTTGTAATATATCTAAACATTTATCACCCCACTGGCTCCTATAAAGACAAACGCTACCCAGAAAAGCAGCCCCAGTGTAAGCTTTTGTGCAACTTGCCCCAGATCTCTGAAGGAGTATGCTGTGGATACTTAAAGGTGAGACACTAAAATGTGTATCATGAACATCCTCATTTATGAGTTTGATATTCTCTCAAGGATTAACCAATAGAATCTTTTGAAAATAAATAAAAAATAAACTAAAATAATAATAAGACAATAAGATAGAGAGCTCCCTGCTAAAGAAAGATTCAGTTTTCGAAAAACGCATTGCTCCCTCCCCATGAACTGTAACATCAGTATACCTACGGCTTCATAATCCGCCAGCTCCAGCCTAGCTTTGTTCTGCATGGTCCGCTTGCAAAGATAGATGGCTAAGGGGAAAGCCATAACAAAAACAATTCAGAAAAAGGCACTTACTACAGGATGGGGAAAAAAAACAACCAAAAACATTGTTGTGCATGTATTGTTCATTCACATAGTTAAACCTGACCTAAGGAATGACAGCGCTAGATACCTAGCTAGCATTTCCTGTGCACGGTAGGGGTCTCAAGACTCATGGGACGATACAACCTTTAAAGATCTGGAGACATCTCAATTAATAAGCATGAAAAAAGCCATTTTATTTAGACACAGCTCTGCTTGCATCTTATGGGCTATATTATGGCTTTATCAACAAAGCTCTGGGTATGGGGTGGTGTCCAAGGGGGAGTCAAGTCTCAGAAAGGCATAATGGCTACTGGGGCTGGTGAAAGATGCTCTCATCAGTGCATTGGCCATGCTCCACAGCTGGTGTGGAAGGGGCAAGAGCCATTACCCTGTTGCCTCCTCACCCCTTTTTTGAGCATCCTTCTCCTATCTAGAGCACAGGGAGTGAGAGGACTGTGCTTGGGAGTGGCCCTGTATATCATCTGCATTTCTTTTCCCTTTTTTATTGAAAAAGTATTCAGATTATTGATATGAAAATAGCAATTTGAGCCAAATCCTGAGGGGAGCTGAGCGCCTCTTTGGATCTGATTAATTGCTTTTAAGATTCATCAGTTCCATCTGCTTATTCCCATTTAAAATCATTGTTTTGTCCAACACCACAACTAGTTACCATAGCAATTGCTGTGAGTGTATATACTGGGGGTTGATATGGGCCCAGTGTATTCTGTACCATCCTGCATTTTGAGGCAGTTAGCATCAGGACTTTGCAACTGGCCCCTCACCTCTATTATGGGCTGAAAACAGAACATAGAATCCCACCCTACACAGGAGCTGGGTCAAGTTCAGATTAAAATCCAAACTACATAACATGGGCCCACGTCTCCAATCTTTGGGGTCTTTGAAATGTGAACCTGGATCTGAATGTGGTAAAAGTCCAGATCTTACACCCTCTCCTAATCTCTTTCAGGGCTGGATACAATCTGTCCCACAGCCTATAGAAGCAGAGCTGGTCAGAAAATAGGGGTTTGTCTGAGGGAAATTACTTTTTTTAATAAAAATTTTCACTAGAAAAACATGGATTTCTGATTTTCTGACAAAATGAAAATTTTGACACAAATAGACACTTTGCACAAAAGAAAACTTCATTTGATTAAAAACCCTATTTTCTGTTAAAATTCACATAATATTTTCAAGTAGCTCTACAGAGGAGATTCAGATATTGCATTAGAGGCACTGTGACAAGACCGGATTAATTCGAGTATTGCTATTCTTGGTATTTATATATTTCAACAGTTGTTTCATCTGGAAGCCATTTATAGGGTCAAAATAAATCCAGATCTAGTCATCTCAGTGTATTTCCACATTCCAGGGACTGAACTATCATCAGAAGGCCAGTTTCAGCCCCATAAATGTCTTTGAAGCATCAAAAATGTAGGTAAAAAAATGTATACACAGCTACTAAGGCTTCAGTTTTATTTGGGTTTAGCTGAAAACTGCCAGTTTGGGCTTTATTTCAGGATTCTGAACAATCCACATGGGCAGCCCTAACTGATAAACAAATGCTGATATTGGATATGTGAAAATGAGCCCAAAGGGGCTCAAAGCTAATGCATCTGCAGCATGTTTTCAGCCTTGGGGCAGGTCATAGAAGGCCCTTCTTTGAGGGGCACTATTACACACAATGCATTGCAGTACAATAATCTGACATCTACATCCAATTTTTTACTTAATATTACAGAAAAAAATCTTCTGTTTCCAGATTGTTACTATGATATGTACAGAAAGTATTTTCAGTGTAACCATGCACATACATTATACACAGTGGTTACCATAAAAATATTTAGCAAAGCCTTTGTAACTAACTAACATTATTGTGATTCTTACCATGGCTTTTCACAGATATTCCCTACACTTAGGCAAACATAGAAAGATGTTAATAACTACTACTGTATGTGGGGATTGCAAATGAGCCCTACACATGGTTACGGGCTTCCCGTTTACCCAACCAAATATTATTTCCAAAATCCACAATGATGAATGATTGTTGCCAGAGGGAGGGAGAAGATTTTTTTTGTTATAAATTGGCCTTAGTTACTGAGAGATCTTTTAAAGAAACAGTTCCAGAAGCCTTTCTTTTATGAGAACACAGATGTATTCACTTCCTCTGCCAATGCCACAGTGGGATGGAATAACTGATTTTATCGTATAGATATGAGAACTGTATTGCTTTCTCTTGTAGAACTACAATGCACAGAGACAGCTAAAGACAACAACACTGCTGTATTTTCTTTATGCATTATTCCTATCCTCAGCCACTCAGACGTTTAATATAGTGTACTGAGGTTTATTAGCTCATAAACCAATGTTGTTATTCTTCTGTCAGCAGTTATCATCTGGTAATTTAAACATATTTCCCCTTTTCATGTTTTTAATGCCATGTATCAGAAAAGCTTAATTTTTGTTTGACACCGCTAATGATATGTTATTGTTGGTTAGATAACTGTTTATTGAGCAGCCAGTTCAGTGCCCAAACAGGATTAATGCTTATTGACTAACAGTTCAAATTCAGCTACAGATCAGAGAGTATTCCACCACAGAAGCAATCTTTATGCTACTAGATCCTACTAATTTTACGAGGGAGATACTTATACCTTCACATTGACTATCATCTTACACCCCAAGTAGTCCTGTTAAAATCAATAGGACTATTTGAGAAGAAAGGTGCTACTTGATGGGTGAAATCCTGGCTCCACTGAAGTCAATGGCAAATTCCCATTGCATTCAATGGAGCTGGGATTTCACCGAATGTAAGGATGGCATGTGATACGGCCCTTATCTGGAGTTGAAGAGGAAATTCAGAGCATGAAATGTTGTAGACCACTAATAAATAATTTCTACAGGGCAATAGTGTTACTTCTGACACTTTCAACGGGAACTTCTAAAAACTAGAATATTTTATTCTCACCATAGTCTGTATTTTCTGGTTCCCAGCAGTTTGAAGGCCAAAAGTATGGGGCCTGAAAAACAGCACATCATATTTTAACAATTTAATTTAAGCAACAACAAACCTTAATGCACCTGATAATTATAAATATTATGAAACCCCTGACAGCCAAAAGTCCAAACTACATGATAGTTACACTGCAGTTTTAATGTGAATGAAAGAGCAACTCCTCTGTAGCTACGAGAGTTACAGTGCACTATTATTATAAGTGCCAAAGGTGGGCATAGCCCTTTGCATGCATTTAAGAAGACAGATCTTTGTGCCAAGGAGCAGTGAAAGGAACTGTTCATGAGCACATGGAAGTGTCAAAAATATTTAGTCCAAATCCTACTGTGACATTATCTGATTAAAATATGACCATGCAAATCATTGTTGCTACCACTGTTATATAATTACAACGAATCTTATACAAAGTATGATGCATTGCCAGAAAAGGTTAAACATCCTGCAGAATAAATGACCCAGATCCAACCTTTAGAGACATGTTAGAAAAGTATGTGAATGGTAATTAGGGCCATTCCATGGTAGAAAGGCTAGAACTTTGAAATGCAAACCTATATTGTTAGAAATTAGCGGTGATACTAATTGTAGTTGTGCACTCATATCTTGTTAGAGGTTAACAGTGTAGTCAAACAGTCCCTGTCTATGCCGTATTCTGTTAATTCAGAGATCAAAAGGACATCTTAACATTTAAATGAACTGTAAACATAGCAATATCACTGTATTCATCTCTCTTTGAAATGTATAGCAAATCACCTGCGAATGGTGGAAGAACAGGCAATTGCCATACGTTAATCCATGTAGCTAATTACTGGTGATCCTTAGGAAATAGGTCTACTTCGAAGTCTCCCTGATTGCCTATTGTTTGCCTAAGGACTCCGAGCTGTCAAAAGAAGGCCTGGAATTGTATAAAAATGTATTGGGTCCTGATCCTTTTTATCTCAGATCTGCTTGATGCTTCATGCAGGGGAAGCTTAAGTCCTAAGACTGAGATCTCCACTGGACTATAACCTACGGACTAATTCTGAAAGAACTCTTTGCAATTACAAAGCTCACCATCTCTACTATGAATTTGATCTCAGAACTGTACTCATGTCTATATCTATACTGATCTTTTAACCAACATTCTGTCTCTCTTTTCTTTTTTGATAATTTTTAGTTTAGTACATAAGAATTGGCTGTAAGCATGTATTAGGGTAAGATCTGAAATATTCATTAACTTGGGAGATAATGGGTCCGATCCCTTGGGATTGGTAGAACTTTCTTATACAATGAATAAGATTTTCAGTAATCCTCATCATAGTTGACTTGGGTGGAGGCCTGAGGCTGGGTTGCTTTAAGGGAACTGTGTTGTTACCTTACTGGTTACCAAGAAGCTATTATAGAAGCTGTTTTGTGCTGGCTTGGTAAATCTAAGTATTGGAATATCCACCAGCTTTGGAGATTGTCTACCCCATTCTCTGCAGTTCACCCTAATTGAGTAACCTCAGTGCGGCTCCTCTAGCCCTCCGGTCACACCTACCCTAATACATTCCATGCGAAGACAAGAGGCTGATATATTCAGATTAGTGGAGTAGGAAGGTGATTCTAGCAGAATATTTTTGTGTAGAATGGCTGAGTCAAAATATGTGGCAGGGCACTGAGAGATGACCAACGGGTAGACAAGGTTCTAGAGCAGTGGTCTCCAAACTTTTTATGCACGAGATCACTTTTTGAATTTTAGTGCAACCCAGGATCTACCCCACCCCTTCCCTGGGGCCCCGCTTCTTCCCCAAAGCCCCACCTCACTCACTCCATCCACCCTCCCTCCGTTGCTCACTCTCCCCCACTCTCACTCACTTTCACCAGGCTGGGGCAGTGGGTTTGGGTGCGGGAACGGGTGTCGGCCCAGGGCTGGGGCCGAGGGGTTTGGAGTGTGGGAGGGGGCTCTGGGCTGAGCCTGGGGCAGCGGGTTGGGATGAAGGAGTGGGTGATGGGTGCAAACTGTGGGAGGGAGTTTGGGTGCAGCAGGGGGCTCTGGGCTGGGGCAGAGTGTTGGGGTGCAGGAGAGGATACGGGGTGCTGGCTCCAGGAGGGGGCTCAGGGCTCGAGGGAATATGGGGTGCTGACTCTGGGAGGAGGCTCAGGGCTGGGGGTTGGGGTGTGGGAGAGGGTTCGGGGTGCAGGAGGGGACATGGGGTGCTGGCTCTGGGAGGGGGCTCAGGGCTGGGGGTTTGGGTTTGGGAGAGGTGCGGGCTCCTGGGTGGCACTTACCTTGGGCTGCTCCTGGTCGTCAGCGCAGGAAGGCTAAGGCAGGCTCCCTGCCTGCCCTGGCCACAAGCTGCTCCCGGAAGCGGCCAGCACGACCCTGCAGCCCCTGGGGGGTGAGCACATTGCTCCACATCCTGCCCCTCTCTGTAGGCACCGCTCCCGCAGCTCCCACTGGCCATAGTTCCCCATTCACAGCAAATGGGAGCTGTGGGGATGGTGCTTGCAGGCAGGAGCAGCACAGAGACCCCTGCACCCCCTCCAGGATCTCAGGGTCGTGGTGGCCGCTTCCAGGAGCAGCGCATGGCCAGGGCAGGCAGGGAGCCTGCCTTAGCCCTGCTGCATTGCCAGACTTTTAGTGGCTGGAGAGCGTGATCGGCAGGCAGAGGCTCCAGGACTGACCAGTTGATCGCGATCTACCGGTTGGTGACCACTGTTCTAGAGCAAAAGACACTGTATGGAAAAAGCAACATGATCTGGTGACAGTGCATATGTGGGATGGAAAGGGAGTTAAACATGACACTGATGTTGGACCCTGGCTGACAGGGTGGATAGGAGTTTTTGACAGCTGGAGAGGACATCCTGTTAATGATCCTTTCTTGACAGGTCTTTTAATGAGGCCCAGTGGGAAAGTACAACTATAGAGGTGAGTTAATGACTATTTGGTAATTAACCTACACTTCTGCTTCTTAAGTGAAAACAACACGCAGCAGTAAGGCAGCGGGAGCTAGTGGTGGCAGCAGCAGAGGCAGAGATGAAAGCCTTTTCAATAAAAGCTAAACAAAGGGCAACACAGGAGGAAGGGAGGAGTTAGATGATGGAGAAGGCAAAAGAGAGAGGACAGAAAGATAAGTGGCCTAGTGGAAAGAGCCCTGGAACCTGTTCCCAGCTCTGATGTGGGCCTGCGGGCTGACCTGGGGCAAGTCACTTCACCTCCCTTAGCCTCAGCTTCCCTTCTGTAAAATGGGGATAATCAAAAAATGTTTGCAAAGTGCTTTGAACTCTAAGGATGAAAAGAGCTATAGAAAAGCTAGGTATTCAGGTATTATTAGTGTTACTATGGACCATATGAAAGGTGGAAACAAATTCAATTTGAAACGTTACACAACGAGCTCCAGCTTTGTTCTTTCCTGGTCATTTTCAATAATAGACAATCTGTTATAGAAAAGGAGCTTCTGGAGCCCAGTCAGTGAATTAACAGGGAAGGCTTGGATCAGCAAATTTCAGGAAGAATGTATAAAAAAAACTAGGTCCTGCAGTTAAACATGACACATCTAGGAACAGAGTCAACATGGGGAAACTGAGACATGGAGCATTTAAGTGATTTTTTCCCAAGGTCACAGAGACTCTGTGGCAGAGCCAGAAATGGAACCCTGATCTCCTGACTTCCAGACCTATGCTTTAATAGAAAGATGATCCAACTGACCTAATATAAAACTGAGCATGGAACTGAGATGCAAAATCTGGATGCAGACTTCTAACTCTTCAGTGTTTGCATGTGTTCAGATCTGGGGGTTGCTCCAGCCCATTACACAAAGAAAACTAGCAACCAAATTCAGGGCCAGGTTCAGATTCTGAAAATGACTTACTTCAAGGTTTGGGGTTTTGATTCCGAGGCATCAGATTTACATACTTTGGGACTATAGAACAAACTTTCTTAAAGGGATTTCACTGATACTTCATGGCTGTGTCCAAATGACCTCAATAAGCATAGGGATCTTTGTGTTGTATGAACTTCAACAGCACTCAGTGTACAGGTAAACATTTCAGTGTGGAGGGACAGTAAATATAGAAGCAACAATGTAGGAAGCAGAGGGCTCACCTACCTGAAAACGATAGAAGGTCCCATCATCTTTCAGGGTAAGAACATGGTCTGAGATTGGAAAGATATAGCCCTGTGCTGCTATAAGACTTCCCATATGTATTGCTTCTACTGTGAGAGGGAAAGAAAGAAAAAGTAGAAATCTGTCAGACAGATGTACACTAGGGCAGCGTTTCTCAAAATGGGATCTGCAAGGGTACTCCAGGGGGTCCATGGGCCCTGCTGATCAACTCCTCCCCGCACCCCCAGTGCCTCTTCCATACAGCTGTTCCCCCGGCGTGCAGGAGGCACTGGGAGGGAGGGACAGGAGCGGAGATGGGGGCAGGAGAGGGAGGGTGCAGAAAGAGGCAGGGAAGAGGAGGGGCAGGGGTGGAGCTGGGGTAGGAAAAGGTAGGGGGGTGGGGCCTGGGGTTAGGGGTGAAGTGGGGGTGGGGCCTGGGGCTGAGAAGGGGTCTTGGGGGTCCGCAGCAAAATTTTAAATCAAAATGGGGGTCCTCAGGTTACTAACTTTTCAGAACTGCTGCACTGGAGAATCCATTGCTCTCAGCAGATCTGATGGTGGCTCACAGTCAGATTTGGTGTACCCCTCAGTTCCCCAATAAAATTATACAGAAGTGAAAACCAACCTTACAGTATTGGTACAACTCTACTGAAAATGTTAACCTGATGACTTTAATGTCCCCATTACAGGGTGTCACACTTCTCTACATTGTGAAATTCAATTCAAAGCCCATTGTACATTGCCATTAACGAGAAACCCATTCCAACAGTGAATCCCATCATTTCTCTATATTATACAAACAGATGCTATACTGCTAACAGCATCTTTATTAATATGGCAACAAATTATAGAAAGGGAGCAAAGGGCTTTACTTGGAGGGAAATGCACTGAGGCAGAGGGATGCTGTTTTGCAACTTTTGGCAGCACATGTGGCAACTTCAGTTCCCTCTCATGGAGGCTGCACATCGGGGATAGCTCCCCAGCGGATGTAAACTGTCAACATTTCATTGACTTCAGAGTTACGCAAGTTTACACATGTTGAGGATCTGCCCTTAGGTGTACCGTCAGGGCCCCAGTCTTAGAACAAAACAGGCCTTCTCACCTAGGTAAATGGCTAACAAATGGCTTGAAAGCATTGTACAGGATTCTAGAGTTAGCCAGACAAGGTTCTACAATTCATTGATCTGCTGAGGGACCGTAAATATGATTCATATCCCTTTCCTTCCCACTTCTCTCCTGATGATTACAACCTCATTGCTTTATCAGCACAAGACTCAGTGGCAGACAGGTAACTAGTATCTAATGCTACACACACACACACACTACTGGTAGGTTGTTCAGTTTCAACAGTCATATTACCTGGGTCCTCAATGCTGAGGTTCTTCATGAGCCACTGCACAATGTCAGTACCTGCAAAGACAGAAATGCACTACACATGTAAGACCGCAAATGTTTGTGGAGACACACCATGTTTAAACAAGAAGAAAAGATACAGAAATTCAGGTCAATGGCATTTCCTTTCCTATTCCCACTGCAGGCTTGAAGAATCTCTTTACCTGTGTGACACTATTACACATTTATTTATTTAGAGTTATAAACCTGCACAGGTGTCTCATATGATGGACATCTTGATTTAGTTTAAATTACACAGCATGTGAATGCCACAGAATCTACTCTCCGCACAAGGAGTTAGGCTTGTGAAAGCCGCTATTATATCTCAAAGAAAGAAAAGACCTCATTGCTAACACTTTCACCCATAACTGTCAGAGGTGATTCCTAGGCTAGAGCAGTAGAACAGAGCAGCTAGTCAAAGACCAGGGGGTGGGGAAATGACATGTGACTGATGTGAACTAAGCTCATGTCTTGGGGAAAGAAGTGAGACAATGTGTGCCGGGAGGGGCAGGGTGGGGGGAGTTCTCTTTGAATGTGTTGTTTGCTAGTGATATCACTGGAGGTTTGTGGAGACTAGGGAGGAGAGACTGGGTCTGGGCTTTTCAGCTCTAGTCAGGTACAACAAATGCAGTTCTCTTGTAAGAGGTGTAAGACCTTTAGAATTGATTCCCTACATGCACATGGCCACTCTGCTGTCTGCATGAAACACATGGGAGCAGAAAATGTGTCACTGTTCACAGGCAGATCCTATTACTGATCAGTAAAATGTTACATGATGGGATACAAAATGTTGCCACCTTCTTTAAACCATGTACTGAGCTGCTAACCATGATGTAGGCCATGTCTCGAGTAGGCATCCAAATCCCCTCGCCAGCTTTGTAAAACACAACCAGTGTGAGTTGTCCAAAGTCACACAGCAAGTCAGTGGCAATTTAGCAAGTCCATACTGGAGCCAAACTTGGGAAATCCCCCCTTCCAATACAATGCACTGATTCCACATCACTCTGGATATTGACACAACGGCAAGACTTCTTCAACGCACATTCAGTTTAATTAGAAAGGTTTACACCCATGTGCAGGTTTTCAGTGCTCACAATAATACCGTGGCATTATACCGTGCTCTATGCGCTCACAGTGCTATACCCACAACAACTAATTACCGTAGGGTTCACTCTGCCTCAACCAAACCAGAGGAATTATCCCTTGCATGGAGCACATCTTGTGAGGTCAGATTAAGGATCACAGAAATGATTCACAACATTCTAATATGCCAGAGGAATGAAAGATAAGGACAGGGAGATTAGTCAGTACTTTGGAGATTGAAGGGCAAACTCAGGGTTGATGTATGAAAGTGCCAGTCTGACTTGGATGACACTGCACCCACTTAAACCAGACTTAGCCAAAACAAGTGTGAAAAGACAAAGAGAGCTGGAATATGTGAGAAAAGGTTTAAAAACAGAATTGTGTTGATGAACTGATCTAAACTAGGTTGGAGATTTCTGTACAGAAGTTGAGATTTTAAATAGAGATTAGTATGAGCGATAAAGTTTCGCTCTGCTTTTAAACTTCCCCAAAGTTCAGAGGTGTTTAGATATAAGGTTCGGTTCAGGCCCATCTCTAATTTAAAATTCTAGATGGAGAGGAAATAATAATTGGTTCCTGCTATATATTACTCCACAGTCCATTCACTCAGTTCCTATATCAGCAGCCAATATGGGGGTATTGGCTACAGGACTCATTTTCCCTCTGACTCCATTTTTGCCCTGATTAGACATGTTACGTTGCCACTGCTAAAGACAGTATGTTCGGCTTAATGCATTTTTTAATTATGGAGAAAGTTAAAAATCATGACACAAATGAACTCCCCCCCCAATACATAATCAATATTGTATTGATCAGCTCATAAGGAGCAGCATGTGGAAGCAAGCACAGATCCCAGAGTTTGTTTTGTCTGCAAAAAGGTATGACAATCCCATGAAAAACTTCCAAAAAGGGATCATTTTGAAACTCTTATTCTTTTTTCTCAACCCCATTTTCATTGATCCACCCTGAAAAATTATAATAGTGTGGAAAGTTTACTTGTGCTGTTTAATTTTTTTGCCATTTTATTGTGATTCTTATAAATTACTGGTTTACAGCTTCTGTTAAACCGAAAACTTCTATTTCAACTTTACTGACGGAATGGTGAGCAGCCACGCAAGAATATATTGTTATTTTGTCAGCCCTCTGATACCACACAGTATATGAAGGATCTGAAAGCATAGCCCAAAAATAAATCCAAAACCATCACTTGAAATCATGGATCTTAATCTGGGTTGGTTTAAAAAAAAAAAAAGAGTGTCATTTCCGACTGTTGCCAAGAGATTGGAGGGTTTTATGGCCATTCTCCAGCTTTCCTGAGGCAGGCAGATTATCTTTCTGCTGAGTTTGCTGAACCATTATTTATCTGCCAAGACCAATTATTCAACCTCAGGACAACAACAAGCCTTTCTTTCCCCTGTTAATTACTGTCACTTTAATATCCATGTCACTAATTATTATTCAATCACAATGAAAACACTTCACCCCCAAAGCCACTTTCAACTTATAGGCTTACCTTGGCTTCAGATCTACCTCTGCCATAGGCTGTACCACTACAGCCCAATCTCAGCCATCTACAAAATACTAGTTAATCCATCTCTCAAATTATCAAGTTTGCATTTATCTATAAAAGTCAGGGTAGGGGGAACAAGTTCGATTTAACAAATCCCCTCTTCTTCATGTCCATGATACAAATTCTTTTAAAGCCATTCATCCATAATTAAATTCCTCTCAGAATCTCATGGTCTCCTAGGGACCATGCTAAAAGTTCTCAAACAATTCACTTTACCAAAGAAGGTCTCTTCTAGCTGTTTTCTACGGTCCATATTCTCCTTTTCTTCCCTGCTTTCCTAATAGCTCACCTTACCTGATCACTCTTGTTACAGTGTGTATGGTAACACCCATGGTTTCATGTTCTCTGTGTATATAAAATCTCCCCATTGTATTTTCCACTGCATGCATCCGATGAAGTGAGCTGTAGCTTACGAAAGCTTATGCTCAAATAAATATGTTAGTCTCTAAGGTGCCAAAAGTACTCCTTTTCTTTTTGCAGATACAGACTAACTAACTACTCTGAAACCTGCAATTTAATAGAATACTTTGGCTGGGCTACTTGATCCTGCCAAGTTTCAAGTTCCTACTACAAACTGCGGAGGCATTAAAGATATTTTTAAAAATAATTGGAAATGTTTTTATAATGGAAAGTGTCGGTGACTCAAAATGAAGGAGTTTCTACCATTCCCCCCACTATAATCTATATACATACATTCCTCTGTGACAATATACCCACTTCAAGGATAGTTAACAGTCTGGGGACATCTATTTCCCCCTTATATAGAAGGACACTATTGCTTTAGGCTGTTATTTGAAGCAGCTGTAGGTGAAGTTACATAACAACACTAAGACTGAATCTATCTGAACATAAAGTATCACTATATCCATTCATCTACAAATCTGGTTTAGAGACAGAATAATAACTTTATATTTCCTGCCATTTCCTCCTTTACTTTTGGCCTTAGCGGTCTCATAAAGGTACCTAGTGTTTCCAGAAGGCCAGTGCCTGTCAGCATGACAAATAGCAAGCCAGCCATGAAAAGATAAAATACAAAGGAATGTTTAAGTGGCATGGCCCCAGCTGGGATGCATTTAAGGAACTGAATCACCACAGCTATACTTAGCACCTTTTCTACCCTACCTAGCCCGATCCTCCTCTTGTAGAAGAGTCAGTCCTATTTTGGGAGGGCCATTTGGAGGGAGCTAAATGAAGCCATGATGGGATTCACCTATCTCCCTCTCCCTGCACTGGAATGGAAAAAGGAACAAGCACAAATAAGTAACCGCCCCTAGCAGTACCTAAAAACCCCAATGACTCACTGCATATAGCAGAAAACTTGAGGGGTTTGTTTACTAATCAGTGGACTGGGTGTATTCCTAACCTGTCAGAGTACATTTTCAAAATCCCACCACACCTGTGTATGCCACTGCATATATTTCTAGGCCTGGGTCCCTAGGGAGAGGAAAACTACTTTATTTGTAGGAAATACAAATACAATTGGAGAGAATAGAAAATTAATTCTCTGAAGAACAAAGAACCCAGAGGCTCAAATTAGTTCTGAAGCTTTAAAGGAAATGCAGAAATGGAGACAGAGCAGGAGACAGGCTTTTAAAAGGTTCAGTTTTTCTTTTTCTGAGTTACTCAAAAACCTGAATAATGGTCTGGGGCAAGCCGCTAAGCATCGGTGATGGGTTTCAGAGTAGCAGCCGTGTACGGCGGCTCAATGCCCAGCCTCTGCAGTGATTGGAAGTATGAGACCTCAAACTACCCAGCTGCAGCATTAAGAATGGAGGACTGAATTTTGCCACTTCAGGAGTGAATGAGACCGTGGTGCAATGTACCCCTACTTCCTTCATTACATACCATACAACAACAATTCCAGATCAGTTTGCCATACAGTTCTGCCTCATTCTTTGTCCAACATATGCACTGAATGAGACAGGTTCTTGAAGAAAAATTCTATATGATCAGGTAATAAAAGACTAGATTATAATGCATTGAGGGCACAAGTAACGTTCCACGGCCACTCTTAACTTTATTCTTTCCTCCTTGATGAGTGCTTAACTTTAAAACCTTAGCATATTTCAAGTGTGTTTTAATGGAATTTTCAAAAATGTGGGTTTTTTTCAAATGAAAAATGAAGAAACTAAATAAATTAGCATAAAATAAATTCCTACCTGTTCATCTGGAGGAACGTTCATGTTTGCTAGACTGCAGTGGAATGCTCTGGACAGGCACTAAATAAGCAAGCAATGAACCAGAAGCCTTTGCCTCTTTCCACACACAACTTTCTATACCATACAGAAGATGACAGAAATCCTTTGGAGTCCCACAATCTTCTATATGCCCCATGACCCACAGTACTTATTCACTAATTGTAGAG